TTTCCCCAGTGAAATCCAGGCATACTTCCAGCTGCTGTGTGTTTTCTCAGCTGAACACAAGTCTGAGTATGGAAGCCCTGCTAGAAGCATTATTGAATGTACTGTTTTTATCTGGAGCTAGTTTGCTGAACTTTCTTCTAAGACTTTAGACGAGTGATGTCTCTTTTGCCATCTCCCATCACTTCTCCCTCTCTGAAACGTGCTCATGGGTGTGACTTGGCCTGTGGCATCATATCCAATTGAGCACCTAAAACCAAACACAAACCTATCCTGGGAATTATCTGAAGAGTTAGTTTGTACTTTGGCTTGCCTGTCAATAAAAACTGCTGAGTGCTGTCTCCTTGGAGTCCCTAAAGATGTTTCATTCCTTAATTAGTACTTAAGCACCGATAGGCAGGTTTTGGTCTAGCCTTTTGACAGACCTTCATCAAACTGCTGTGTAACAGCTATTCCTCCAGCTGCTTTGGAGATAGTTGATCTGACATGGATGTGTTAAGTCACATTTAGCAGTCTTGTATTCTTTAAGAAAGACACAGGTAAACACAAATCAGGACTTTGGTTTGCTTTAGGGTGCTATAGCAGTGTTTTGAAAGTTCGTGCCCTTTTTTTGGTCTTATATGACATTTTATTATGTTTTCCAGTAAATAATCATCTACAGATGGTGGACTTTTACTGTTCTATTCAGGAAACGGCAAGCTCTACTGTTCTTGTTACTTTTCCTTTCATTGAAAGCAGGCTGAACAAGCTGTTGCTGAATGTCCTGCTTTATGCTCACTGCTATAGTCTTCACTTAGAAGGGTGTTCTGGAACACCTAAGAAATGGCTACACACCGTTTTTCATACTTGGGTACTTTAAACTTAAAATGTAAAATTGAGGAAAGTATCTTGAATGTGAACAGCTCACAACAAAGGATATAATGGATGCTTCGCTTTGCACATTTGGAGTTGGTTCCAGATTGATGGTGTTTTCTTATAAGGCTTTGAAACAACCGTGAACTCAGAGGTAGGGGAGAGCAGAAGGAAGGAAGCCAACTTCTGAACTGGTAATTGTGGATGTATGAGCTTTGCTTTGTCTAGCATATGGAGCTATTATTTGTTGATTCATAGTCATATGTAATCATGTTTCTAAAACGGTTTTCTCCATACTGCTGTATGCTTCAGCTTTGTAAGTCTGTAAAGAAGTGCTTTAGTATCGACAGTTTCCAAACTAAACAAAGAGTTTTACAGCCTAGACTGTAAAACCTAAGTTCTGCCTAATAGAGGGAAGATGTGTGGCCCGGTTCAAAACTTGACATTTTTAAGACTGGAAGTTTTTTGAATTTGTACTTAGAACATTTGTGCTATGTAGTATCCCAGTTGCACTGCATGTGGTCATGAAAATCTGCTGGTAGAAACAATTTTTGTGGTCTTGCTTTAGCTCTCAGCACCTGCAAAAGGTTAAAAAGTTTGTGCTGCACATGGTGATTGACATTCAGGTTTCAGTGGTGTGAATAAACCCTTTGATATCTGTGATTATGGGCATTTTGCAGGTTCAGTGATGATACCCATGAGTCAGGTTCTTTTTTAAACCAAGCCAAAGCTTTGGAAAGGGGCAGAACATGGGATCCTTCAGGAAGCTTCTGTTTGAAATGCTCCAGTTCCAGCACAAGGCAGTTGTGGAAAGACTTACACAATCTGTTGAAAAGACGCAAAGTGGCTGTGTGTACTAATCTAACGGAGAACTGACATTTGTGCGGAAATGAGGGGGTTTGGTTTTTGTAAAAGGATGTCATATGGTCATTTGCATTAGCAAACTTGTGAGACACATTTAGTGTTGAATTTTTGTTTCTTTTCTTGAAAGGAAGAGAGGATGCTGAAGTGAGAGTGAGGTACACACTATTCATTTCTGCTCACTGGAAGGCTTGCCTCAGCCTCATATGTCTTCCTTCTGTGGTTTCTCTCCACAGCTTGGCTGTATGACAGACTGTCTTTGACCTCCTTGTCTCTCTCTCCCCTCCTCCTCTCAGAAGACTGCTCTTAGCTGACGTGGCACAGCCCTAACCTGGGGCCCTTGGTTTAAATATCCTGAAGTAAAGCAAAGACACAAACTCTGTTCTACCCAAACTACTTGTCGCTCATAACTTTCTCCTCAAGTAGTTTGTCGAACCAGTCTCTGAAGTTGAAGGGTTACTAGAACCGTAATTTTCTTAAAAAATCAACTTATACTTGAATCTTGTCCCCCCAAACCAAACCCAAAAGCTACTAAACCCAACCAGCTGAAAAAAAAACCCTAAAGAGTATATTCTGAATAGACCTTAATATTGTCTGTCAGAGACTCGGCACATATGAAGGTGCTGTATGGAGCATGCCAGGCTCGGTTTCAGCAGCGTAGGAGTAAAGCAGCCTGTGCTAGGAATTAAGTAAATCAGTGGCCTGGAGTATTTTTTACTAGCTCAGGGCCAAGTGCATAGTTTCAACTGGATTTATGTGGTTGACTGTCAGGCTAAGGTAGTTTCAAGTCTTAACATGGTACTCCTGCAAAAGGAAGAGGTCAAACATGTTGCTTCATCTGCTGTAAAGTCAGGTTACAGACTACTGAGTGAGACTGTTGTTTTATGCTATGACATTTTCTTTGAATATCATCTCAAGTTCTGTGAAAATCTGAAGTCTCGGGCCCAAGCATAAATTAAGTATGTCTTTCATAGCTTCTTTAAACATCTCTAAGGCCCTCCTGCAGTTCTTGCTTTCATTGACTTTTCTTTCTTATCTGTAACTTATTTTTACATGGTGAGGTTCAGACAAGATCCAGCAAATGTAAGGGTTTGAAGACAAGAATAGTTAGCTGGCAACCAGGAGCTGTTGGTCTAACTGAGCAGATATATGTTGTATACATACATGTATACAACACCTCTGTATAACATCTGACTTTGCATATACTAAAATATCCCTTTGTGGAGCAGCTGTGAGAATTAGTCCAGGTTACTTCATTAAGTAATGATCAGGGACAAATCTTGCAGGCTTCATTTGAATTGGAAGGCAGTGCTGTGGAAAAAGGGGATTGCAGGAAATGTGCAAGAGTAGCTATGTGCTAAATTCATCTTCACATACACCGGTTTGAGTTTATTCTCATACTGTATTTGCACTCTTTAAAAAGATGTTCTGTGTCACAGGTCTCCTCTCTCTCTATCCATGAAATCCACCTCTCTCATTAGCATAGGGAAATAAAGTATGACCATCTTTTCCCTACCAGGGACCTCCTACATGTGCTTTCTGCACATCTGTGGTTTGTAAATATATTGTGAGGGTGTCTTCTGTGTATCGTGCTGCTGTCACTAAGTTTTCCTTGTTTATTCCTTGATGATGGCCTTTCTGAAGTCTTAAAAGTCCCTCTAGTCTTAATTTACTAGAGGGTTAGAGAGAAGTATGACAAGACTCAATGCAAGTTCAAGACAGTGAACAGTGGCAGTGCTGGTGACCGAGCTGCAGTAAGTTATAGCGTCCCTCTCTTGTGCAAGGCAAATCTCAATCTCTCCCTGATGATGATGTGGACAATGAGTCATTCTGAAGATGGGTTTAATGAACAGATCTGTAAAGAGCCCATGGAGACAGAGATCTGAATAATCATACTTTCTTTGGGGAAAGCACTGACACTTCGAACACCATTCCAGGAAAGATGTGTATCACATCCTCACTGCCAAAAACAAGCCTGCATGTATCTCAGACAGGGGCACAGTTGGAAGATTATTTGAAGTGTGTTAAGAGCCAGAATGAGAGGTCAGTTTCCTTTGGATGGGATCTAGATGAGTTTCAACAGCAAACTTAATGCAGTTATCTGCAAAAGTGGGCTTGTCTTGGTTGTACAGATCCTTAAAAACCTCTTTAACCAAGAAAACCTGACATGAAAAAATCCTGGCATCTCTTTATATTCATGTGATAGTGCACACAGCAAGTATTGCCTTACTACACTTATCCCTCACCATTAAATATATCTTCTGTCTCTGGTTAGGTGGATTTTTTTAACTGTAGAAACATGTGGATATGCAGCTCTTCGACCACATAACCTAAAAACCCAAAGTGCTGATGACCCACCATCCTTCCTCAAAAGTCCTTGCTGACCCCCTGGCCTAGGAATACTGGCTGGGTTGAGAGTCTGGTTTGAGAATGTTAAAACCAGTGGGATGAAAACTCTAGTGATCATACCAAACACTTGAGAAACAGGAGATGAAAAGTCACAATATGCCAGGGAGATAAATGCATTTTATGGAAGGTAGTTTGTCTGCTTTTATAAATCCAAATGGAAGTTTATTTCATAATGCATCAGATTTTAAAGGATTGTCAGAAAAAAAATGAACTCGGATCTTTCTGTCTCAAGTATCCTGGGAGTTGAGAAAGCAGGTGTTTTTGTAGTTATCAGTGCTTCTAGCTGGAGTCATGGATGCCCACTTCTAGAAGGCCTCTGGTATCTCAGAGAATGTAGAGCTGGAGCAGCGAGGAATGCTGTAGCTCTCTGAATAAGCAGTGCCAGCACATTGTGTGGGAGGAGCATTTTTCCAATTGCAAGCCGTCTTCTCGCAACATTGCTTTCAGTGTCCCTCAAGCTCCCGTTTTGCAGGTGACAGTTAACTGTATGATGCAGCAGATTGTTAGTATACTCACACTAGAGTATGTCCTTCAGGCACAGTGCCATTCTGCTGTCACGACTGTTCACAGGTGTAGATAGAGACAGACTGTCACTCTCTCAACAGTTTGGAATCTAAACTGACAAAAGGGCAATGGAGATGGAGCAGCTCAGCCTCAAGTTTCTTAACACCATTCAAAACTTCCAGTGGTCCTTGAAAAAAGTGTCTGAATTCAAATACACTTTTTAAGAAACTATCTTTTGCTTTAATAAAAAGAAAAATTAAGCTCAGGGGAGGGAAGGCAGGAGGAGCAGTGTAAGAGAAACCGTCTTCTTTCAGATTTCTGTAGCTGTTCATCAACCGTAAAGGTAACCTTTCTTCTTTCTTTTTAACCTCTTGCAGGAAGTCCAAGGGAAAGCCAAATGGTAAAAAGCCAGCACCGGAAGAGAAGAAAATTTACCTAGAGCCGGAATACACAAAATCCAGAATTACCGACTTCGAATTTAAGGAGCTAGTGATGTTACCACGAGAAATAGACCTCAACGAGTGGCTAGCCAGCAACAGTGAGTATTGTGATTGTACACCTCTGAGCTTGCTGTCCACAGCCAAGGAGGCATTCATTCACTCTGTTTCTTCTTACTGTTTTCAGTGCTTAGAAAAACACTCAGTGACTATGCTTACTGCATAATGCATGTCATTATACTTTGAATAGTAATTAATCTGTCTTGGGTACAAACCAACTGTGCTCAGCAGCATGGAAGCCTTGACGTGTTTCCTCCTTCCAACTCCCTCACTGTGGCACTGAGGGCATTAAAGTTTTTGATGCCATTTTGAGGACCATCAGATTCCTGTTGACTATTTCCTAAACCTGCTGGCTCAGCATGTTTCTGACTCAAGCTACTGGCCTTCCAGAAGCATCGTAAAGATGGTAGTTTATCAAGATGTGTATTTAAAACAAGTTATACTTAAAGCAAGAAGTTTTGAAGTCTTTTGGTTGGAGTTCTCCCCACTCCTTCCAAGCGTTGGTGGAATCACTGTGAGTTTAAACTGTATAGTCAAGCCAGAACTCAGAGACGTGACTGACTACTGTGACTGAATGCTGTGTCTGTGCACTTCGGTTCTGATTTACAGTACTGTGCTTCTGCTTCAGCTGCCAGTCCTAACCTGCAGCTATGACCCAGTCTTATTTACGTTTTCACGTTATTTGGTATTAGCAAGAAACTACTTTAAACTGCACACTAGGAAAGTTTATAGAGACTCATTAAGAAAAAATGAGGTGCCCCCTGAGGAGTATTAAGATGTTAAATTATCTCAGGAGATTTTTAAAGTGTAGAAGTGTATTAGCTTTCATGCTATTTTTTTTAAAGGAGGTATATCATGAGAGTTATTAATGCTGTTTTCTAGCCACTGTACATTTTAAGTCTGACTTCAAAAGAATGTAGCAAATCGTTTGCCTTCAGCTTGTAGTAGAGTATTTTACGGCAAAGGTGAGGCTGATGATGGAGACACTTTCCAGTCTTGCTGCTTAGTGAGTAATAAGAGCTGATGCATCATGGTGCTTTCATCTTGAATCAAAACAAGAGCTTTCATTCTGTGTACCTCTTTGTTTTGCAGTTCATCATTAGACTCATTTAGCTAAATCATGTTTAAATTTGTACGCAAGCTCAAGACTCTGAGGTCACTTCACTTGCTCTATTTAAATAATTGTCTGGAGGATAACCAGTGTTTGAAAGTATTTTACTTCTGAATTTCTTTCCTTTGTATTTATTTTTCAGCAACAACTTTCTTTCATCACATCAACTTACAGTATAGTACAATCTCAGAATTCTGTACAGGAGAGTCATGTCAGACCATGGCCGTGTGCAATACGTAAGTCGGTATTTACAATTACAAGGTTTCCATGAAGTCTTCAGAGCTGCCTGGGGGAGGATATTGGTATTAGATGGCATTGGGCAAGTGTTTTACAGCAGATCCTTGCTTAGTAAGAATGTGGCAACTGCACATCCTCTGCTCTCCCCTCAGCAGTGAAGGGTGGTGGAAATATGGTTTTGTGGAGGACTAGAAGGACGAGAATCTTGGACTGTTTGTGGCTCGTTTTATAAGGTCAGAGCAGAGAGGCAGATTACCATGTGTGTAGGTTGTGGGGAGAGGGGGGGAAGAAGAGCAAGGCAAAACTGTCCTCACTGGTAACAGTGCTGGCATTCCATAGAAGGCCGGGGAGGATAAATGAATTGCAAAAACCTCAGAGGGTGCTTTTGATAGCTGGAATGCTGACAGAGCACCAGGCTGCTGACGAATAACCTCTAGCCTGATGTGAGGTTTCTTCAGGCTTTCTGCCTGAGTCCCTGGGCACAGAGGGCACAAGTGGCAGCTTTGGAAAGAGTTAAGGAAAACGTTTTGGTTTGGCACTTTCCCCTGTAGGACTTAGTAGACTTTTTTAACATTGACTAGCTGTCACTTATGAAAGAAAGCTTTGTAGTTTTACTGTACATGGTGAATATAAGAAAAAGTTACCATGAACTCCTGCTCTTCATTAGCACAGTCCAACATGATGGAATATGAGATCCAGTTGAGCATGAATAAGCCTGTTGTGTTATGTTTTGTGTTCTCCGCTCCCCCCTGGCCCCGCACATGTGTTGATAGTCCTTTTCTTCCCTCCTCCTGCATTTCCTGGGATTAATTTAGTCGATGCATTTTTAAAACAGAAGACTGAGCAGTTAACATTACAGTATATCAAACAAACATCCCAGGGAATGTATGCAACAGAACCAGAGCTCTGTATTGTATCTCTGACTATAATTATGTAGTGCTTACAAAGGAATCCTTGCTTAATGCATTGGGCTATCTTGTACACTTGAAATTAATATCAAGGGCTTTCTTTGAGAGCACTCTGAAGAATCCAAAGTGTACGGAGGATATTTTTGCATGTAGAAGTTGGAAAGATAACTGTCAGTAGAGAATTAAAGGCCATGCTAGGGACTTTGAAAGCAGGCTGGAACATAAAGTGATAAATCTCTGCTGCACTCAGATTTTATCAAAAGGAACAGCATGTCTCTAAATGAGAAATGGTGATCAGTAAGATGAGCATTTTGTTGACTCTTGCTCCCAACCCTTCTGCTAAATTCCTGACGTAGCACTGGCTGTCCAAAGGAGCGAGTTTAACTGTTTATCGACTTGGCTGGTGGAAAATAGTGGTTAAAAGGAGGTGGTGGTGGGGAACCTATGTAAGTGTTGCTCCATTCTGCTCTAGTGAGTCTTAAACTAGAGTTCTCTGTAAGCAGTTTATGTTGCAGAATAAAGAAGGGAAGTGCCTATAGACTGCTCCAGCTGTAGTCTGTATTTTTAGTGGTGAGGACTGATAGCAGAATGTTCCTGTCCTTTGTTTTGAAAAACTGCATTGTTTGGGAATAACAGGAAGCATTTCTACACTTGGGTGAAGCACATGAAATGGTTTGTGTTTAGCTAAATCATAACAACTTGAGTATCTTCCTGTACTTGGGGGCAGATGACTGATTCATGTTTGCAAACTGTAGGCTGCATATTTCTTTCTTCTATCAAGCGTGTGGGTCTATGATAAAAGCACAGAGGTGAGAGAGATCACTTAGCGACACACCTCCATACAGTTCAGCTTTGAAGGGCCTGTGTTCTCCAAATATCTCTAATGACAACTTTGGATAATTCTTTTCTTTACATTCTGCCTTTCCTACCTTTTCCCTTTTGGAAGATATATGCCTAAATGGAATATGGAGAACTGCCTCAAAGATTGCCATTTGTTCATACCCAGTGATGACTACGACAAAGCCATATGTGGCTTCCCCACCCCTCTTCTTTTTTTTCTTTTTAATCTTACCCTAACGAAGTAAGGTAAAGACATGCTTATTGTGTTGGAGAAAACACCAGTTGGTATGATTTATTGTGCCTCTGACTTGCCTGTAGTATATAAAAGTATCACCTAGAGTCAGTTGCTGATTAACCTGATGGACATTCCAGATTTGACCTGGTAGTGGTCACTGATCTGTTTGTTTGGGTACTTGGTAATAAAATAGCATCTACCTGTATTAGATTGCCACAGAATTATAGTACCTTGGAGTAAGGGTGCAGTTTGCCATTTTTTTTCAGAGCCGATTTCTTAAGTAGTTCAGTATGGAGGTCTGCATTCTGTTCCTCTTTTGTGCTTTCCCTGCCCAGTTCTCTAAGGTGTGTTTTGGATCACACCATCCTGGTCATACCTAAGGAAGGCTTTTTGTATTTATGGTTGAGATGTTGAAGTAACTATTGAGAACAGGCTGCTTGTCAAGATACTTTGCATTCAAATGCACTGCAAATATTCAATCTTAAGTTTAGAGGATTTGCTGGCAAAATAAACACCAGTTGCAGTCAAATATTTGAGGTAAGGTTTTAACATCTCAGGGAAGCTCCAGCCAACTGACAAACTGCAGACAGATGCAGCTTTCAGACCTCTGTCAGATATATGAGATAGCACAGCCATCTGCACAGAGTGAGAAGAGAATTTCTGCTTAGGGTCACTAAGAGACATCGGACCAAAACTTAGTCTCCTTGTAGAACAGGTGGACGTATTTGCTGGCAAGGTGGGATAATGCCATGAGAAATACTAGAACGGCCACTTATCTTCCAAATTTAATGAGTGTGGCATGAATGGTACTTTGGGAATTATTTAATTTTGCTCATTAATATGTTTAGCACTTGCTGGAATGCAGGCACTATATTTTTAACGCAGTATTGAATATTTAGATTTAGTATGCTTTATAGCTTATTGTTACACAAACTAGCTTTAAGGCACCATGAGCTGTAAATTGGTTTTCTACCTGACGTTTGGGCAAAGCTGCTCAGAAGTGCTGAAGCGAGAGTAGTAACTAAGAGCCTATGTAAGTGCTGTTCATGGGGCTGAGATTACAAAACTCCCGAGGCAGAAATCAAGGACGGATGCAAACCTCTAGGCAGCCCCCAGATAAGAGTGAAAGGTCTCATTTTGATCCAGTGAAATCCATCAATTGATAATTCCTTATCACTAATTTTTTCTAATCTTACAATGTAATTTCTCATGTCTACCTTGCCTTTGTCTCTGCATGTGGAGGGTATTTCCTTCTAGAAATCTTAACTCAAACTTGCATGTTTTGCATTTTCAAGTTCCCCGAGCTGTACCCTTCTACATGGTGGCTCCTTACTCTTTTTTTATCCACCATCTAAACATTGCTTTGCCCTTATCAAACCATGAAAGC